GGCAAAAAATAAAATTCGACATCATTTCGATTTTGCGAAAAATCATAAGGGTTACATCATTAAAAATTGCGAAAATTGGCAAAAATTGAATCTTCTAAATCTTAAATGGAGTATGCAGATTTATTAACCTAACAAAAACTAGCATAGAAAAGCTTTCCGAATTAAAATTAATCATTTTTTGGCTTAGTTATGAGTTTTTTAAACTATGATTTTTTGACAAAAAATTGTCTATTTTATACCCCTTTGCAGGGTTTTATTATTTAAGTCAGAAACTTATATTTGCATCAACAAACGCAGTATGCAGATTTGTTAGTGCTTTAAAACTCACACAGAAAATCTTTCCGAGTTAAAATATATGCAATTTCGGCTTATTTATGATGTCCGAAAAACTTAGATTTGGTATAAAATTGTCTGTTTTTTATACCTTTTTGAAGAATATAATTTAAGTCCGAATGAACGAACGTAATGAAGGAGTCATTTCCGACCCATAAACCATATATATTCTTGATCAGCATCGAAAGCTGAATCAATTAGCCATGTCTGGGCAAAAAATAAAATTTCGACATCATTTCGATTTTTGCGAAAAATCATAAGGGGTTACATCATTAAAATTGCGAAAATTGGCAAAAATTGAATCTTCTAAAATCTTAAATGGAGTATGCAGATTTATTAACTAACAAAAACTAGCATAGAAAGCTTTCCGAATTAAAATTAATCATTTTTGGCTTAGTTATGAGTTTTTTTAAACTATGATTTTTTGACAAAAATTTTCTGTTTTTATACCCCTTTGCAGGGTTTATTATTTAAGTCAGAAACTTATATTTGCATCAACAAACGCAGTATGCAGATTTGTTAGTGCTTTAAAAACTCACACAGAAAATCTTTCCGAGTTAAAATATATGCAATTTCGGCTTATTTATGATGTCCGAAAAACTTAGATTTTGGTATAAAAATTGTCTGTTTTTTATACCTTTTTGAAGAATATAATTTAAGTCCGAATGAACGAACGTAATGAAGGAGTCATTTCGACCCCATAAACCATATATATTCTTAATCAGCATCGAAAGCTGATCAATCTAGCCATGTCTGGGCAAAAAATAAAATTTCGACATCATTTCGATTTTTGCGAAAAATATAAGGGGTTACATCATTAAAAATTGCGAAAATTGGCAAAAATTGAATCTTCTAAAATCTTAAATGGAGTATGCAGATTTATTAACCTAACAAAACTAGTATAGAAAGCTTTCTGAATTAAAATTAATGATTTTTTGGCTTAGTTATGAGTTTTTAAACTATGATTTTTGACAAAAATTGTCTGTTTTATACCCTTTTCAGGGTTTTATTATTTAAGTCAGAAACTTATATTTGCACCAACAAACGCAGTATGCAAATTTGTAAGTGCTTTAAAACTCGCACAGAAAAGCTTTCCGAGCTAAAATATATGCAATTTCGGCTTATTTGTGATGTCCGAAAAACTTAGATTTGGTATAAAATTGTCTGTTTTTATACCTTTTTGAAGAATATATTTAAGTCCGAATGAACGAACGTAATGAAGGAGTCATTTCCGAACCCATAAACCATATATATTCTTGATCAGCATCGAAAGCTGAATCAATCTAGCCATGTCTGGGCAAAAAATAAAATTTCGACATCATTTCGATTTTTGCGAAAAATCATAAGGGTTACATCATTAAAATTGGCAAAATTTGACAAAAATTGAAATTTTTAAATTTGTTAATCTGTAAAAATTAGCATAGAAAGTTTTCCGAATTAAAATGAATGATTTTTGGCTTAGTTATGAGTTTTTAAAACTATGATTTTCGGAAAATAATTGTCTGTTTATACCTTTTTTTAGGTTTTTATAATTTTAGTCGAAAACTGACAATAGCATCAACAAACGCAGTATGCAGATTTGTTTATGCAATAAAAATACAATATAATAAAAGTGCATAAAAAACATAATAGATTTTTAAAAGTTTTGAAAACAGGACGATGTAACTTCTTTTTTTGAAATTTCGAAAATGTATTTTTTTATGGGGCATGGTTTAATCGATTTGGATGTTCATGCTGATCAAGAATAAGTAAAGAATACAATCTTTTAACTAAAATTATAATACCTTTGAAAGGGTATATAAACGATAGTAAAGCCCGAAAACAATTTGAGTAAACCTGAATTCGTAATGAATAATGGAGAAAACAACCTAAATAAAAATATACACTCGCTAGTTAAAAGGAAAACAAAAAACGCACAACAAAAAGGGGGCTGCTTTTCATAACCATCGCTGTGTTTTATTTTATTGTATTTACTATACATCAAAATAAAAAATTAAATAATAATAAACAGATATATAAAGTTGAGAGGGTTCTACTGTGAAGGTAATGGTACCCGTGGCATTATCTCCGATCGACTTTAAAAGTCAATTCAATCAATGTAATAGAAATTAAAAGGAAAAATTTAAAATTATATTATTGGATCGCAGATTCCTCCGGTTACATGCATTTCCAGTTGACTATACCTTATTGTATACCCTTATCCTGTTTGGGAACAGGGTACACCAAGGGGAGAACAACAAACAGCGAGGGTAATGTAGATTAAATGTAGATAACTGAAGGAAATAAACAGCAGAAACCAGAAACAGAAGAAACCATACAAAGCTGGCTATCAGCGAGAAACGCAAGAGTCACAGTAATTGCTTAATGGATCTACAGTTTTGCATTGCCATAAAAAAAAACAAGCAGGGAACCAGATTCGGGAAGTCGAAGTTTTTGTACCCTTCTAGTTTGATATTTGATTATTCGATTATATGAGGAATTGAGCACAACTAAAGCCAAAAAGTGGTTCCTAATTAAAATAATTAAATTGCAAGATATAGTATTGGTTAAAAAGATACACCTTTATTTTGGGCACTACAAAACATTTTGCTTTATTTTTAACTTTTATTCCGAAACTCTGCATCTTCGCTTTCACTTAAAAAACCTAAACCCAACAACTTTGGACAAGTAGAATTGGGTGTACATGCATAAATACTAAACGAGTAATACAATTTTTGTTTGTTTTTATCATTGTTTTTGCTCTTGGGGCATCACAAAACATCAGTAGTAGTAAACATAGAAATATATAGTTACGAGAGAAGGCATATATGTATATACACGCATCGTGGGGGTAAGGGGACATTTAAAACAATTACAATTTGATTCTTTTCTGCCATCATTTTGGGTAAGGACTGTTGTGTGTGCTTGGGCATATAAAAACTTAATCAAGAACACTTGCGTTTGCTGTTTGTTTTAGTTTTTAGACCTTAAGCGGTATTTGCGGAGTATCCCTAAATTAATTGTAAGGCTCAACACTAGTAGATATAGTTTAGCTGCATTTCGGCCGCTGCCAGCAGCGCATCTTGCTGATCCTTCTTCGAGGCGTCGTCGTCGTTACCCGCCGCTAGACAGGTCTTCGATGTTGGACAGGAATTTGGATTTGGATTGGATTGCGTTTCTGTTTCCGTATCGGTTTCCGCATCTTCAGAGTTATCGCCATCCTTGGGAGATGGTGATGCATCCTTGGTGGTGGCGTCTTTCTGATTGGCGGCCGTCTGCTGGTTACTATTCCGGCAACGCGCTATTAGATCGCTATAGGGCCGATCGTGCAGCAGGCAGACCAATACAACGGTCATGTTGTCGCCACCGAGGCCACCCATTTGGCAGTCGGGCGCCAGGCAGTGGTTCATCAGCTCCTCGCATATCTCCTCTGGATACATGCCCATGCCGATGCGCGTGCGACAGAACTCGAGCACTTCCGCATTGCTCATCACATCCCAAATGCCATCGCAGGCCAGTACGATGAATTCCCAATCATCCATGATTTTGCGCGTCTCCACGTCCGGGTAGGCTGCAGAAGAATAACGGCAACAACAACAAACAAACAGAAGCAGAAGTTGAATGTGATAATGAATAATTCAGAACAATGGGGAAGAAAAGGTGCTTCAGTCGATTCTCACCTGTGACGATCTGATCTTCCGGCTTTTTGTTCGCTCGCTTGAACACAAAGTCACCAAGTGCCCGGGAAAGGGCCAGATTGCCGTTGACGCGATTGAATTCCACCCAGCCGCCGCCCTCGATGATTCGCTTTGATTCCGCTTCGTTGTTGGGCTTATGGTCCAAAGATAGGACCTCCAGCTGACCATTTACACAGGCAATGGCCCGCGAATCTCCGGCATTTGCACAGTAAAGCTTGTTGTCCTTCACTAGCACAACGACGGCTGTAGATCCGGCCATCTGGTCGCCCCACGACTCCTTGTGGAACATCTCGTAGTCAATGTCCAGAAAAGCCTGTTAATTTTATCATCAACATTATTATAGTAAGTAATTGAGTAATAAATAGGTATGCAGAGAAATGTGAAAGGCTAGAAAACCCCACACAATTTAGATAATAATCAATAAATTGTCATAAATTTGATTTAAATTAATTTAAAACAAGAAAGGAAGCTAACTTCGACACGCCGAAGTTTATATACCCTTGCAGATAGAACTTCTATGAATAAAAAACCATACAATACAAATTATATATCTTTGTGTTAAAAACAATGAAGTAATACCTGCTTTCATTTCATTCACCTATACATATTATATTTGCAGTTTTACATTCACTGATTTGCATTTTTCCTCCACATCAAACAGTCGTTTGTATGGCACCTATATGATATAGTCGTCCGATTTTCATGAAATTTACCACAAAATTTAAGACTTAAATTAAATGCCTATACTTAAAATTTGATGAAAATCAGTTGAAAACTGAAAAGGTTATAAATTTAATTGTATTAATTTCTCGATTGTTCCTATGGGAGCTATATGATATAGTAGTCCGATTTTCATAAATTTTTATGCAAAATTGTAGAGTATAATAAATTGGCTATATCTCAAATTTGATCCAATTCTATTGAAAACTGAAAACGTTAAAATTTTTTTGTAAAAATTTTCGATCAGTCCTATGGCAGCTATGTGATATAGTCGTCCGATCCGGCCCGTTCCGACATATATACGAGTGAGAGTATATAGAAGGCTAACTACAAAGTTTCATTCAGATAGCTTCAAAACTGAGAGACTAGTTTGCGTAGAAACGGACAGACGGACAGACGGACAGAAGGACAGACGGACAGACGGACAGACGGACATGGCTAGATCGACTCGGCTGTTGATCCTGATCAAGAATATATATACTTTATATAGTCGGAGGTGCCTCCTTCACTGCGTTGCAAACTTCTGACTGAAATTATAATACCCTGCAAGGGTATAAAAACTCGAAATATTTTACTTTTCCAGATTTGTTGATCAACATTTTTGTGATTAAAAATTTTGCACCAAAAAACTGTTGCTATACCATAAAGGAAGGCTTCAGAACTCTCTACCGATACAAGGTTCCAAGGTTAATTTGGTAGATAAAATATTTTTAACATACGATAAAAAGGCACGTCGAACATTCATAGCTAGAACCTTGCTACTCATAATAACCCAGCTTGCGACTGAAAAAACTACAATATTTGATGCATATGATAATGATTAAACTAGACGGATAAGACTATGTACTTACTATGGTCTAGGTTACAAGATAGATAACAAGAAATTAAACTAAACAACCGAAGTGTATATACCCTTTCAGTTTTCTTTAAATTATAGGATCGAAGTTAAATTATTACATGCTTCTAGCTACAATTATAATACCCTTGGAATCGTATAAGAGTACTTAAGCTAGGAAAATCAGATTCCAGTAAATTCTGTATTTTCTGGATTCGCACAGACGATATCGTTTCCCCAAGTTATACGAGTAAAACGTGCCAAAAAAACTAACTAAACTAGATTTACCTAATACACCCAGGTTGGGTAAACCAGATAAGAAGCACTTCCTAGCAAGCGTGAAGTATGGGCTACTCGAATGTAGCAAGCCCTGCCCCCATCTTCTCTATATCTCTGACATTTAATATACGCGTGGGTACTTAAAATAAGCACCTGAGTGTGTGCATCTTATATAGATTCACTTCTCGCCATTCATGCACGTGACTCACCTGCTGCAGTGCCCGCTCAATATCATCGTCATTGTACTCCGGTCGCTTTAGCACAAATTTGTGCAAATGCTTTCCCGCATATTGGGCCACTGTGGCCCCGCCATGTCCATCGTAAACGGCAAAGAAGGCCGCTCCCGGATCATCCGGCAGCGAGAGGATGTGTGTGTGCGAGTCCTCCATGTTGATGCGCCAGCCCTGCATACAACTGGAGCCGACGCGGAAGGCTGAATTTTGGCAATAGGCCGACTCCTTGGCGGTCACCGGTTCCGAGAGTGTCTGACCCATGCTTCTGCTGGTGCTGCTGCTTCCTCCGTCTCCTTATCCGTATCCGGGTATGTAGGCGGTGTGTGTATTGATGGGTGTGGGCGATGTCAATGTTATCGATTCGCGTAGCGTTTCTGGCAAGGAAGACGTACAAGCACACGGTTTAAGTTAATTACGAAACCCGAGCGAAACCGAAACAGAAACTGTCAACTCCAGGTACGCGTGGGCCCTGGTCGAGATTAGCATATCAAAGAGCCGTAGCCGTAGGTAAGCTCTGCGTAAACAGACGTGGACAGACAGACAGATTTCGGTTTTCTCGCTGGAAGTCTTGGAGCGGATCGCGATCCGGAATCGGTAACGACAATGAACAGGGGCGCACCGTTCACTGGTTCAAAGGCCGCCAGGTGATAAATGCTCCACTTCACTCCGATCCGGTTAATCAGTAGCTCCTCCGTAATTAGTTGACACAGTTTGCAACAGACCTGAACTTACGCAAAAAAACAAATAAAATAAAACAAAAAATAGGGCGAAAATCGGAGCAAGCAACGGAGAAGCAGCAGAGAAACAGGGAGAATCGTAGAAAGGAGACTCAGCAGACAAGAGGAGCACCACGGGAGGAGTGAAGGGAAGTGCTCTATAGCTCACCTGACGTTGACCGTTTTTGCTCGCAGCACTAAATAACCGGGGTCCGCATTATTAAAAGCCGTACAATAAAAAATTATAAAAAACAGCGACTCTGTGCGCGTGCTGATTTGTTTTTCGTTGTTGTCAGTATGACCGTAGAGTTATTGTTCAAATATACCGTTGGGCTCTAAAAATATACTTTTAATACCATATTATGTTTTGCAAATATACCACATATACCACAGTTTCGTTCAAATACCGTCGGTCCGGCAACTATAGATGTTTATTTTGGACCAGTGTTACCAGATCAATCACAGATTCTGCCAGTCCGGCAACTCTCGACGTGTGCTTTTGGGTCAGTGTTGCCAAATCGTTTAAATATTCCGTCGGTCCGGTACCCCTTGACGTTTAGTGTAGCCAGATCGACGGAATTTGAACGAAATCGTCGACCAAAAATTCCGTCGCTTACTACTGCTTTCTGTTCGCTTGGTACATGAAATCCAGAAATTGACAATTTTATACTGAAAATGACCAAGTGGAAGGCTGTGGTTTTGCCTATAACAACAACAATAAATTACCTTTTATCAACAGCAACAATTTACAACAAGATAAGTACAAATAAATTTATTTAAATGCCAAATTTGAATTCAAATTTAAATGAACGATCAGTTATCGCCACATTAATTAACAGGCAAATTTGAATTTGAATTCAAACCGACGATTATTTCCCGCAGGGTAACGTCAGTGTGACCCATAAAACCCGCCGCGCAAAGAAGCCACTAAGCTTTGGCGGTTTCAAATGGTTTAAAAAATAAATACTGCTCATTTAAACGTTGCTGTAGTTGGATATGGAAATCTTTCAACTCTTCGACAAAGGTTGATATTTATTTTACTTAATCGTACGTTATACAACAAGTATCCTTAAAAATGGAATATCATACTTTTGGGTGCCAAAGGGAAATATCGTTTTGGACGAAACAGCGACAACTGGTTTTAAATCTTGTCTGATTATTCGGCTTTAAGGAAATACCGTAAATTGTAATTTGAATCGTAACCAGCGATCGCAATTTGCATTTCGTGTAAATGATTATATTTGCCATGAGCGCCTCCTAAATTATTGTGTGACAGATGCAGTCTGAAGTGTACTTACCGTAAATGTTTATTTACGATTAATCTCATTAATTGAAAGCTGGAATGCCTTATTCGGGCTAAAATCGAACATCGAAATCGGTCCATAATCTGAGTTCGATGCCACCCGTCGTCGGCTATATGAAATTATTTGCATTGTCACAGTGAACCGGCGATGGTTTAAGAAAGTCTGGGACCTTTCAGAAGACCAACACCGAATAGGTCTTGAGTAATCGCCCAAAATATGAATTTGTAATCCAACCATGACGTTTGAAATAATATGGATAGGGTCTGGACGCGAGAGTGATTCATCGGATCGAAGAAAATCCGATATGACGTCAAATTTAAAACGCTCTTGGAGTTTGGAGCGCGAGCGCGAGCAACCGAATCGATTGCCCCCACTTATGATTGTTTTTCGAATAGACTTCAAATTACTATAAATGACGATCAACATCAGGTTTCTTTTGTTTACCAATCAAACATAACATAATTTGCTCGGGCCTTTATTTACCAAATAAATTTGGCGAAGTTATGGGTTCATCAAAAAATTTTTGTGCTCTAAAGATTGAGAAATAAAAAATACGATCTTTATTTCGGATCTACAGAAAACTACAACGTATAAAAGTGTTTACAACCCGAATTGTTTTGATTTACAAGATTTAAATTAAACTAAATTAATTAAATTTAAGAAATTAGTTCAAGGAATTATTATATCCTTGCAGGGTATTATAATTTCACTCAAAAGATTGTAACGCAGTAAAGGATCCATTTCCGACCCATCCATCCATATATATTATTGATCAGCATAAACAGCATAAATAAACTAACACAGAAAGTTTTCCGATTGGAAATTAATGAATTTTTGACTGAGATATGATGGATTTTCTCTGCGAGGGTATAAATATATATATGCTGGATAATACAGAAGTCACGTTGTTTTAACCAATTTGGCATTGCGTTCTTAATACATATTTCTGAGGCTGTTGTTCTCGTTCGTTCTAATCGTTCTAATTTATATTCAAATTCCAATGGCTTATTAGTGTCGCGACAGTCAATTTATAATTAATTATTTCGGCGCCAATAAGCTGTTCTAATCGGCGCAGCATAATTCAAATAGTCCGGAGCAAACGCATAAATTCCAAACATCCAAAATTCCCAGTCTTCTACTAGTTCCATTAAAGCCAAAGCCCAGCCAGAATCTCAAATTTTGTTTTGGGCGTGAGCTTTACGAGTTCGAAAGGCGGTTTTCCAGCTTAATCAATTCCTTATCTGTGGGCAAAACATATCAAGTTTTATAAGCGGCTTCAGCTGCGCTTCATTTGGCAGCATATTAATGGCATGCAAATTTAATTTGACAACTTGACGTATTGTGCGACTCCGGATCGAGATTCCAACCGCCAGTCATTTGATTAGAATGGTTTATTTTGACGACTTTCTTAGGGGTTTTATGGGACTATTTGAATAGGTATTTCGCACGTGTTTTTAGGGAATTCCAGAGCTCTCAAAACTGCAACTGGGAACTAGTTTTCCATAGCTCCCAGCTAAGATTAAATAAAAAGCTACATATTTAAACTGCCGCCGACTGGCGCCAAAAAGTTTCTTTGCATTTGGCTAACGGCTATCCGGCGATCAAGCGATCATCTTTCTTTCTCGACTAATGATAAATGCCTTTGATGAATTTCAGCAAATTTTGTTTGCTACACAGCGTCATGGGAGTCTGTTATTGTGGCCCAGTATTCGGATTTTTTTGGCTGGGAATACCCCAGCGCCATAAATTTCTTCTTTCTTTTTTGTTTGCTGTTTGCTCGAAGCATTCGCAGCTCGCTCGATTCTAAAGCATAAAATGAGCTCCAACCGGATCTAGTTTGTCCAAAACTCTGGCCGAGAGAAACGCTTTGGAGCTCCAGGCCCTCGGGTGGGAGTGGGGGCCAGGGGATTGGAACTTTTACTGCTGGCGAAAAGTGGTATAGCGACTACTGGTTCTACGCCGTTGCATATTAAAAGCTCATTCGGCGGCACATTAATTAATTTGTAAGGCCCACGTACACGCAAAGAAATGTAAATATTTAAATGGGAATGTGCTTTGATTATATAAATATATATTATTTGAGCTAAATGTGTCTTCTAAAACGTATTAGTTGGGCTAAAAAGGATGCCTGGAACATCAGAACCAACTTCGTAACTTAAGAATAAGAACTAACTCTTAACTAAGTTAATGCATTTAAGTAAATACAGAGATAAGGCATATATTACTTTAGAAATGTAAGGTATACTATTATATTTGCAGTACTTTTCGAATTGATGACTTAACTATGACTTTTTGATTTGAAACACTTTATTCATTGTCCCAATGCTTATAAATTAAGACATCCCAAGTACTTGGGAATGGCCTTATATCCAGTTTAGAAGTTAATTAATATTCCTTTCTGATGATTTCTTTCTGTGTACATAACAAATGGTGTTTAGCTGACGTCAATGGCCGATTTGATATGGTCATTACGATACGCCGATTCCCAAACTTGGTCAATGCACTTCGCATGCGCGGACGGTGGTACTGATGCCGATCCTCGCCTGCTTTCTAGCCGAAATGATGCGGGGAGCCTCGTCCAGATTCGGAGCTCCCATTCCGAATTCCGTCAAGGTCAGCTACTTTCTCGAGCAAGGTAAGCAACATTTATGGCGCCAGCGCGATCCGAGCCGCTGAACTTTGTGGTCGAAAAACAACGCTTTTTTTTTGGTGTTCCCGGTCCCTCATTTGCATCAATTTACATCTCGAGAAATTTAAATTTTAATTGTCGAATAAATCTCGCCGGTTCTTGGAGTAATTTATTCGTATGTTTCGAGGGAAAAATGAAATATGCATTCACTAAAAAAACTCAAATTGGCCCCGAAGAGCAGGGTTTTATTAGGATTTGAGACTCGAGAACTCGTCCCATAAACTTTGACGATGTGCTGAAAACTAATTGGAAGATTAGCCGGCTCGCTCACCTGGCTGGACAATAAAAGAAGCACCACCCAGAAAGGCAAGTATGTAGCTATATATCCTACACGTGCTGCTGGGCTCCAGGTGGAGCAGTTTCCCCCCAAGAGGAAACTCGATTGCCTTGTGCAGCCAGTGTCTGTATTTCACACCTTCATGTCCAATTGATTGATATTTATTAGTGTTTGGATATATTTATAGACTTTAAGCTGGTGCAAATGATTAATGTAAATATTAGGGAACGGGGGGGAAAAGGAATCCCCGCCGAATTGGGAATGCTCTAAAGGCACGTGAAATTGCCTGGATCACTTGGCGATGCTCCTGCTCCCGCCTCCGAAGAGATCTCTCATTGACGTACTGGATTCTTTTCGACAAAATAAAAACAAAGCCATTCGCTGGGTGTTTTTACAATTTGCCTGCTAATTAAGTAAATAAAATTAAAGCGATCGCTAATCTCCGTTGTTTTCATTAACAACAGACCCAGCAGCCTGGCGCCGGTCAAATTAACTCCAAATTCCAAATGTTTATCATTGATTTTTGGGAGATTTTTGCGCAGGTGGAAAGAAAACAGGAAAATCCATGAGGGGGGGAAAACAAAAGAACAAAAACATTGAGTCAACATTGTTGTGATTCTGATCTGGAGCGTCAATCTGCATATTAATATATAGTATTGTTTATAATAAACAAACCGCGATCTTGATTCATCGCAGTTAAACCTAAATTCGCCAGAAAGTTTCGATTGGAATTAGCAGCATTTTATTGGACTTTGAGGCGTAAATGAATAACTTATTTTATATCGAATTCTTATGGCGCCACTGAATCAGACAAAAATCCGGAGTCCCCGTTGTTTACGGATCATGGTGGCCGAGGCGAATATGCAATAAAGATGCGCAAAAGCAACTTTCAACAAAAAAATTCCATCTTTTCAGTTGAATGAAACATTTCCAGCCCCGGGAGGAAGGTATAGTAAACCAAAAGGAAAACGACAAACAGAACGAGTCTTCTTCTTCTAATCAGAATTCCAAAATAGTTTATACATAATTAAAATCGTATTTGTCACCCCAAAATTCATCTTTGGCTCCATCTTCAACTCCATCTGGAATACCTGTTCTATTGTCTGGTATCGGCTTGGTTATGAAATTATGTACAGATACCTGCTCCGAACTCAGCAATCTGAGACAGGAATCCTCATGGCTTCGGTATGTCGAAATTATTCGTAAGCGAAATTTGATATTTCGGGAATAGACGCAATCTCGAGATAACCCAGTTTCGTTTCCGTTTCCCATTTAAAAAGTCTGAACTTTGCCTGTCGATGCGCGCAAAATGAAAATCGGCCGACTGACTATCTTGAAATGAGGAGGAGGCCCCAGCGTTATAAACGAGATTTTACGACTTGTTTGCTGTCATAACAACAGGCTACCGGAGATCGGAGACCGGAGAAGAGTCTTCCAAGTCGAGCTGAGCGGAGAGAGCTGCTCGGAGATGGAAGATCTCAAAAAGCCACGCCAGATAGCCGGCTAAATATTTAGCTGAGCGCGAGCGGCGAGGTATAAAAATCACGGCTCCATCAGAATGGATTTAGATTGAAGCGAACGTTCAAAGCGCGCAGAACTCAGATACAAAACAAAACAAAAAAAGATACTAAGAAAGCCAAACCAGTGACTAAGTTTGAAGAACATTGAAGATACAAACCAGTGACAAGTGCAACAAACAAACAGAACAGAACACAACAAAATGATTCACAACAGTATAGCCCACTTGATGGGACTGGGAATGGGACTGACACTGATCTTAATGCTCACCTGGGCGCCTGTCCAAACAGAAGGCTATGCCGTGGGCCAGTCCAAGTTCGGAAGGATTGAGAAGTTCCCCTACCAGGTGATGCTGATCGGAAAGCAACTGTGGCGCAAGCGCATCCTCTGCGGCGGAACATTGCTGGACAGACGCTGGATCCTCACCGCCGGACACTGCACCATGGGTGTCACCCACTACGATGTGTATCTGGGCACCAAGAGTGTGGAGGATACGGAGCAGCTGGGTGGACTGGTGCTGCGCTCCAACAAGTTCATCGTACACGAGCGTTTCAATCCGGAGACTGCGGCCAATGACATTGCCCTGGTCAAGCTGCCCATGGACATAGCGTTCACCTCCAGGATTCAGCCAGCATCGTTGCCCAGCAGATATCGTCACGATCAGTTCGCCGGGATGAGCGTGGTGGCCAGCGGTTGGGGCGCCATGGTGGAGATGACCAACTCGGATTCCATGCAGTATACCGAGCTGAAGGTGATCTCGAATGCTGAGTGCGCCCAGGAGTACGATGTGGTCACTGCGGGCGTGATCTGTGCCAAGGGCCTGAAGGATGAGACTGTGTGCACGGGCGATTCCGGTGGGCCATTGGTGCTGAAGGACACCCAGGTGGTGGTGGGCATTACCAGCTTTGGACCCGCCGATGGATGTGAAACGAATATTCCTGGGGGCTTCACCAGGGTCACTCATTACCTGGACTGGATCGAGAGCAAGATTGGGGGACGCAGGGCACCCCAACAGCAGTACCTGCGACCCCAGCATCAACAGCAGCAGCAGCAGCAGCAGCAACAGCAGCAGCAGCAACAGCAGCAGCAGCAACATCACCAGCAGCAGCAGCAGCAACATCACCAGCATCCGTACAGTGATAACAATCTCATCTAAAACGGGTACTGGCAGCTCGTCCTGAATCCTGACTGAATCCCCTGATAGCTTTATATATTTAAAGAACTTCTCCAATCTTGTGATATATCCCTCATCTGTACATTGTTCTTAGCTTTAACTATTTAAACATCTATATTTATTTTAGCTGTAAGACCTCAGAGTAGCGAGTTAAACTTTGGCTGCAAACAAAAAGAAAGCAACAAATGCGATGCAAAATATAAAGAAATTGTATATGAAAATAAAAGAAAAAAACAAGAGATACGAAAACAAAAATAACAAATAATAATAGCACACAAGAAACCTGATTCGGCTTTTCTGTCGTCTGTTGTTTAGTCATGCTGATTTTTGTGGAATTGGAATTCCCGCGTTTGGGGATCTGATCTCGACCAGCGATAATCGACAGATAAAAACTTTTACGTCGCCAGGTGATAATTTCTGGACGGTTAACTGTTTCGTTTTCTACTACCTACTTTGGGTTTTCACAGTTTTACATAATTTGCGAAAGGCACAACAATTATGAGGTATGCTAGCTTAGGCTATGTCAGCTACCCAAACGAACCACTTACTTTACATAATATTTCTGTGTTGACTTTACACTCGAAAGAACTCGAACTCGAACTCGGACCCACTTCAGTTCGAAGGGGAGCTGGAGCTCGGCGCGATGACGCTCGACTTGGTATTTAGTTCCGTGATAGATGGACGATTCTATTTCTACCAGTTTGGAGGAAGACTCCAAGGCACTGACCAGCTTTTCTTTTTTTAATTTGATTCTGCTGCCTTTGTCTCTTGTGTTCGAATTGTGTCAGTTCTATTTTGCTTTCAAACGTTTCATGACGTCAAGATGTTCCTACGATGGCAGGGATTTATCAAAAATTGATATCATCTCTGATTTAAATGGGAGCTCAGAGCTTAGGAATGATTCCCCGCCGAGCTTGCGATCAATTAAAACCATGATGACTCGCTCCAAATTAAATTTAAATTGGAATTTAATTTATTATGGCCAAAGCAGTTAATCGGGTGCAACTTGTTAATGTTTGTTTATCGGAGATGTATTCAGAGATTTTGGAAAGTTCCTCAATAAAAATCTTATATAGTTCAGGTCTACATCATTAAGCCGCAAATAAATGAAAGGATAAGTAGTGATAACTCTTGACAAATTAGGTTTTACAGCGGAATACCAATAATTTAAAGCTGTCACAAGAACTAGTTATACTTCGATTTAAGGAAGCTTCTTTCGAGATAACTTAATTATAAATTTAGTGCAGAAAATCAATGTAAATGAGGCTTAATCTGTTCTACTTCACTCCCACAACATTTAAATGCTGATAGCAAACTGGTTCAGTGAACCAAATGAGCTTGTAGTTTTCAGCCATAAATCAGGTGGCTCTCACAGCCATCTTCAAGGCAAATTCCTATTCGAATGTTTTCCTTTCAATCGGCACACGTGCCCTTGGAGCATTCAATTAGCTGGTGAATAATTAGCTCGAAACTCGTTAATTGCAATCCCTAAATCGTGCCTGGGCGTGATTTGCATTTTATACAAACGAACTTAACTAACCACACGCTACTAAATTACACTCATTATTCAATTAACTTTATATCTATCCGTTAAGGCAACGTAAACAGCAACATTTTCATTTTACATATAGAAATTTATTTAAAGCAACCGATCAATTATTGCTTGCAATCATCGATTGAAGGATAAGGCCTTTGAATATGATAACAAATTATAGATTAAGTACTAATTTATTTGGTGTTTCGCTTTCATTTGTGTGCTCAGCATTATTGAGACTGTGTGAGATTCGCACTAAGAAGTGCTTTAAAAATTTTGGTTGCTTTGCTCTAACTCTTTGGTACCTTTGATTAGGAAATCAATGCTTTCACCTTCAACTAGCATAGGGCGGCGGCCTTCTGCTTATTCCTTAGCACACAGTCAATGGCCTGGACAACCTCCAGAAAGATGTCGTCCACATCCCGCTCGGCATTGATCTAAGGTAGAGGGAAAAGATTAACGATTTATATAGCTTTTAGCATAATAGAATATCAATCTTGTGACTTGCCGTTAGGGTCTTATCGTTGTACTGCTCTAGAATGGCGTGGGTGTTCTCGGCGAAGGTCCTCAGACGTGACCTAATGGTAGCCTCGTTGTCATCGGCCCGCTTCACGGCAGCGGCGGCGGCACGCGCCATAATGCGCTTCACCATTGTGTCCTCGGAGCACTCGAAGTACAACGCCAGGTCGGCGGGAGCAACGCGAGTCTCGAAAGCAATGCCCTGGTTCTTCTCCCGGGGGTAGCCGTCGATGAGGAAACCCTTGGCACCGCCCCTGGCCCGACCGATAGCGTCATTGAGCAGCGACAGCACCTCATCGTTGGACACTAGTCCACCGCTAGCCATCACCGCTTGCAGCGCACGGCCCTTGTCCGATCCAGACTCGACCTGGAATATTTGAAGTAGGATTTTAGTGGGGTATCAAATGGTGGAAGAGGAAATAATGAAGAAATTATATAGTATCAAGAATTCATAAATATTCATTCACTTAAAAAGTTGTTATATCCTTGCATAGGGTATTGTTCATAAATGTATTAACAAATAAACAGAATAGAATAGAATGAACCGAATAAGTCCCTATGCTCTTCACAATCTATTTTAAATATCCCAAAATTATAAATGTAAACACAAAAGTAGAGACACCATTAAGTCATTCTATAGAAATTATTCAAAATCTATAAGATTTTACAAGCTATTCAAGTATTTCTGACCAATTACCTCATTGCGCAGCAAATCGCCGGTACTCAAATGTGTGAATCCATATTTCTCCACAATCTTGGCGCACTGAGTGCCCTTGCCGCAGCCGGGTCCGCCCAAGATCCAGATGATGGGGATGTCAGACTGTAAATACAGGAACTATTCGTTAAGGAGAGCTACAACAACAAGGCAAGCGAAACATCTACTAAAATTAGCTTAGTTAGGATTTACTGGTTTACACGCAAGCTTAGTGGGGTTACGGGGTAATATATATACATATATCTTTTACAAATCTTGGGTCTAAACTTTTGTGGAGAAGCGGCGGCCAGACAGAACATGCCATCATACATCAAGTAATATGTATTGCCCATCGACTTCTTTGGGGCTTCTGTCGAGACTACTTACAGCGGCTCTCGCCTTACGGAGCTCCTCGGCTTTGAGCTTCTCCTGTGCCTCCTTCTTCATGGACATTTGGTGACACATAAATAACTGAACAATCGAGACAGTTGGTGGGGAAGGGTTAGATATCTCAAAGTTATAGTGTTATTGAACCATATATCTGAGATGTTTCTTGTATGCGTTTGTTATTAGTATTTTCTGGGCACTGTGCCAGCAGTAAATCCCAAGCAATAAATTTCCCATTTACAAGTTAAATTTGTGTTACAATCTAGCAAAAAAATCTATACTTATATATGTACATATGTGCAGGCGATAATGATCATGACATTGATCTTGAACAGAAGCCACTGCTGCGTAGCTGTGTTTATGACCCGACGGATAGCTCAGCTCATTCTGGGCAATTGGCACCTCTTCTCCATTCACACAATTGCCTATATTAATGGTTTGATTTCATCGAAAAAATCCCCAATTGCTGTAAACAATTGGTTTGCTCTCGTTATAGGGACCGTGACCATATAGCGTGTGTGGGTAGAAGTGCGGATCGGTGTTTGATATAGTATGGCGAGGCCCCCGCCGATATATTCGCCCGTTCCGCATTGTCGCACCCAGAGAAATTTTTGGGTAAAATAAAATATATATACAAATGAACGAAATAGCAGACAAGCAGCAAATTGAATGAATTTTGGCAGCCTGATAATGTACAGGTTGTTTCTCTAGCACCTTTCCGTTATTCTCTACAGCATAAATTCTGTGCTTTTTTATTTTCCCTGACGCTTTTCCTCTCTACGCAGTCTCTAATCGTTGCGTGTGAGAATTTATGATTTTTGAGGCTCATTTATGTAATATTTGAGTGTATTTTTAGTAGTTTAGTGACTTTTCAATGTCATTTCCAAGGATATCCATTTGTTTAATAATTCAACACTGACCTGTGCAGGGTAATTTGAACATCTGCTTGGGTTCCCAGAAAGTTTCGTTATTATTGTTATGGAGCTCAAGAGGGATGTGTTTAAAAAGAACAAATCAATTTTTATATATGTTTAAATGACTAAATAGGACTGAACATATCCTGTTTTCAAATCAAATGAGATATGCATCTCTGAACTATATTTAATAACTCTAATTTAAGCGAGTATAAACACTGCTTTAAAAACTTCATTATCTTGAGTTTTTACACAAGATTCGAAATAGAATTTCATTTTTAATGGAAATGCTACCTTTAAACCAAGAATTTTAATAGTTTTCTTGAAAGTATATAATTACAATCACGTTCCAACTGTAATTAACTTTTAACTTTAACTTTAAGTATTTGAAAAATAGCCGCAAAACACATGCGTTCCGCTCAAACGGAACTAAATAACTACTTTGCTTGGCTCTGAGGAATTTTTATGGAAGCCAAACTCCAGCTCTATCTGGTGACTCTTTCTTTTTAAAAGGTTTGTCTCTTTGTTTTGACAATTTAATAATGCGACACGACGCGACGGGGCTATGGCAAAACCGGCATGACTGTCTAGTTCGGGTAGCGCCAATAAACACATTTTAACTGGCTTCGTCGGGGACTGGCGACAGGGGACTTGCTAATGAATCAAGCCCCGCCAGAAATTCCTGTGTTTCGGCCAACTGGTCATAAATTTATGCAAATCGGGATTTTGACGTCAAAATGCGCCGGGTCTTGGTCTTGCTATTGCTTTTGGAATGTGAAATTTCGGTTTTATTTTCGTTGTTTAGCCCATTCGGCCGAGAGCCAGTTGAGTTGCTAATTTGTTGCTAGCTTTTTTGTGTGTTTTCTTGTATTCTGACGGAATTTCACAGGCACGTAATCGTTTGGAATTAGTTAGTCTTGGTATTAGTAGAGCCGAGCCGCCCCTTTAAACCAGAGCCCAGAGGCGAGTAAACAGTAAACAGTAAACAGCAAACAGCTGATGGGGATTCAGAGCTTGGGAGAGCATGTAGAGAGCTGGAGATGGAGAACTTGAAGCTCCCATCTCAAACCTACACTGCCCTGCACTGGACGGGTGGCGTGCAAGGTCAAGTGCACTGGCAAGTGGCTCAAGGTCGAGTTGGAAAACTCAAGTAGTTCTAGTTGGGCAGAGGAAACGCGGAGCCTAGCCCGAGAGATTTAAATCAAAGTGAAACTCATACGGACTACAAAACAAATAAAAATAAATTAAGCAATAAGCAGGAACGAAACTACTACGAAATCACTTCGCGCCGCACACACTCACCATGATGATGTATACCAGATATATACGGGGACCGCCTTTGGTCTTTGAAGAAATAGCGAAATTGTCGGTAGTTTATGGGGACCCGCTGATGCCGCCGTCGATGCCTGCTCTGTTGCCTGTTGTGGTCGTTTTTCCGCAGCCTGCGCCAAAACAGATTAAATTTCTCCGTCCGACGGATTTCTCGGTGCTGCGTGCCTTGAGAGTGAACGACTGACTGAACTGAGCTGAATGAAAAAGGCTTTCGATTCAGCTCGAGTCGACTCGATTTGATTCGATCCGATTCGTTTGTATTCGGCTAACGGTTTCCGTACGCGCATGAAAGCTTTTTGGCGCTGAGAGCTTTCCTCTGCCATCTGTGCTTGCTATTTTGGCCGTTTAACTATAAACCGAATTTTTGGTAATTTAAATTTTGATAAAGTATTCAAGATTTGGTAGCATACCTCTCAGAAATCAGTCGGGAGTAGGTGGAAGAACCAAACAGGAGGTATCTACATCCAATGTCCTTGAGAGATTACTCCTTCTGAGGGCACATGCAAAAGCTACTGATGCAATAACGTCTACATTCATTACTAATAGTTGTCCCTTAATTCAGGGCGATTGTAAATTCCAATATAAACTAGAGCAACGCCTGCAGGTGTTATTGTACCAGTAGCGGTTGCATTCACTAAGCAATATTCTGTTGTGGCCCCAGACTGTTGGATCGTCTCGCCCTTGATAGTCTCTCTTCGGCCATGTACAGCGCATCGATATTGAACTTGATTACCTCAAAGACTCGATAGGGTTCTTGGTTGCTATCCACTTTCGCTGTTATATCTTCGTATCTTTGAATAACTTCTCTGGAGGCAACTACATATTCGGATAAGGTTGGACGACGGAGGCTTTGCTGTTTTGCAGTGCTTCGTCGAGTGCTAGTCTCCTCATCAACCTCCAAGGCAATGACTATGTCAGGCCGTCCAATGCTTCTTTCCAGAATTCCAGCCTCCTCGAGGCTCCCCGGATATCTGCAAATGCATTATCTGTTTGTGTTTCTTATTCTCGACTTCTAATGGTGCTTACCCATCAATGACGACGCCTTTGTTTTTGCCACTATACACTTTATGTTCGATCATCGGAAGAATATCATGCAATGGCGCTTGATTTCCACTTTTCCGCATTGCTTCTGGTAATGTTTTGCCATTGGTTTCCTTAAATTCCACCTATTTTGTAAATAAATACATAGTAATGTTAGTATTCATATTTGATCTATCAGTTATTCGGTTAATCAAACCTCTTTTTTTAAAGTAGAAGGATCGATGTGCACGTAGCCGTATTGTCGAGCAATTTTCTGTGACTGCGTTGACTTGCCGCTGCCTGGACCGCCTATTATCCAGGCCATTCTTACATCCTGAAAGGAACTTCGATGAATATAGCAGATAAACGTAAGTATTTTGATGGTATTTACCATTGCAGGACAATACGACAGACATCATAATTTAGAAACGAAACATTTGTGGGGGTGTAAAGTATAGAAAAAAAAAAAAATGACAAGTTACGCAGGCATGATCATTGGCAATCATCAACTAATATAGTATAAAAAGGCCTGTATCTGTTTGGACTCGCTAACGGATACAACGAGCAGTGGGGCGGTGCGGAGACTTTGGATCTTCGAGATCTGATCGTGATTGGGAAAGGCAGAGCGTGGCGCCAGTATGATGACATTAAAGACTGGTGCCTTGGGTGAGCTCTTCTTGAAGCCCTCATTATGCAGGTGCAGATCAAAGGTTATTTTTAAAGGACAGTTCATGCTTTCTTCGGTCGTACAATCTTTGCTTCTCAGCTGCACAATATCAAACTTTTGAAACAACTCTGCAAACCTTGCATATGACGGTTGGGTCTTTCGCTGATTTACAAGACTTTGACCAGTTGGGCAAAGCTTTCCTCTCTTTGTTCCCGGCTCATTGGTTGGTTCTTCAGGAGCTTTCCGCTTTCGCGTGTCGAATTCGAAATCTATGGTTTCTTCGCTGACTGTGGAACCCTTCGTCTTCTGGCCAACAATGAGTTCCTTAAAATCTTCCATTCGCTTCTCTATGAGTGCGTAATGGGGGGATTCTCTTATGTGATCGGGTACTGGTTGATTCCCCACTTTTGCCTTCAGGAAAGACCAGATGCAATCTTCGCTGGTGACTGCTGGCGGAGCTATCTGCGTACGTTGATGCCTCACGACTATATAACCGGCGCGGGATAAAGCCGAATAAATCAAATAGTGCTCGTATTTCTCGCTTTCCAATTCACCAAGGAGAAGAACATAAGCTTGCTCAATAGATACTACACATCCATAGTACTCCAGTTGAAGGCGTCCCTGAAATTGGATGTGTTTTACACTTAAATTGTAATAAATATGCTGATTTGTAAACTCACCACTTCCAGGAGAAATAGGGCTTCGTAGTATTCCAAGTAGAGTTTCCCTTGGTCGCAGTATCCAAAGTTTTCGAATTTACCATCCTTGCGCATGACCTGCGCCACTTGTTGCTTTTCATCCCATGTGGCCAGTGCTCGTCCCCCAAGTCTCTCTATGCGAGGCACGGACAGTTGAGCTCGCAGGCAATCTATAATTAGGTTAACATGTGTAAAAGTGTGTAATTCAATTAATATTTAACTAATAACAAATTTTACCTTGCGCCCGGCGAAGCTCCTCGAGTTCCGCCGCACTGCCTTCGATTTGTGTTCGCTTCAGGCCTCCGCTGGGCGTTTCAAACTCAAAGTGACGATGTGCGATGAGTTCCTCAGCACTGGAATTGCTTATTTTCAAACCATCCAATTGGGTTTTTATTGAATATTCACCTTAAATAGTTTGATTTCGGAATTATTTCCAAAAATGTTGTTTTCTTCTCCATGGCAGTGTGACCAAATTCGTTCGCATTTGAAAACCAGCAAGCCGAAGACGTCACGCCAATAACAAGTTGTTATCGATGTATCGATAGGAGTTTGGCGCCCGTAGTTCGGTATTTTAAAACAAATTGGAAAATGAAACTTAATGGTTGTCTGGTTTTCTCTATTTATAAATCTTTATTCTTTGTATAATTGTAGTTTTGTTAGTTTCGCATAACATACGCTTAACATTTTGCTCTTTCATGCAGTGGAGCTTGTCCAAATCTCGAACTCGTTTTAATTGATGTCATATAACATTTTACACCTTGAAAATACACTTAACTTTAATTTTATGAACATTTAATACACCACATTGTTGCTTTTAACTCTTTCTTACGCTGTTAACATTTCTCGTCCTTATTCTTCTTCGTATTCATCAATTTCAACTTCACGTACATATATTGCAGGATATTTCTAGTTGGCTTTCTTTGTTTCTTCGATTTTTCCTTCCTTTGTTTATTTGTTTCTCCATTGCAAATATTATTTTAAACTCTGAACTCGGCTGTTGTAAAAACTTAAATACAAAAATTATACACTATAACTAACCATACATTGTATATGCATATTATATCTCTCCATAGTATTGGTATCCCTCTGCTTTATTTCGTCCTTGTCGTTAATGCCATTGAATTGTTAACATCATTGTTCACCACGTTTTGTATCATACATATGTATACATATATCCGTAAATGCTTCAGTTATTATCATCTACATATATGCATAGATATCTATCTATCTGTTTTTGAATGCGTAACGCGTTAAGGTAATATTTTATCTGCCTGCTGATAGGTTCTGTTCTCTCTACCGCGCCCCTGAACCACCACCATCGACGCATCACACATGGGTAATAGGTAAATAGGTAAAAGTACAGGTAATACAGGTAAATAAATAATAATACTCTTCGCCTGGCAATCGAATATCTACACTTATGTACAGGACAATGGGTAATCGGGGCCGCTCAGACTATGGGATTGTTCGAGGACGCGGCACTCGGTTTGCCCGGCTTGACCAGGCAGGACTGCGAGCTGTTGCCCATGCTGGAACCATCCAGGCTGTCCAAATCCAGCGCTGTGTCTATCATCGTGGTGTCATGCAGCATCCTCAGCCGCTCCGCCGACTTCACTTGCTCAGCTCCATCGCCCGCGGACTTTCGCTGCGAGTGGCTGGCCACAAAGGAGGCGGCACTCACTGGATCATCCAGGTCGAGATCGTCGCACAGAAGTGTGGAGGACAGCACATTGTTGGCCTGATCTCGCTGTTGCAGCTGCTGCTGCTGCTGCTGCTGTTTGCGTTCATCGATGATGTTCGAGTACACATGAAGTGTGGCATCCTGCGGAGCACTGTTGACCACCACTGGCGGCACATTGCTATACATGTTCTCCGTCGTTTTGCCCGACATGGCGGCCGCCAAGAGGGCAGCTCCTGCCGAGGGTTTCCCCGAAACGGTGGCACATGGTTCTCCTCCACGCACATGGTTGTCCACCAGCGTGGAGTTGACCAGGGCAGACTCAAAGTCCGCATCGAAGAGGTTGCTGTAGCTGCCGCTGCGATTGCGCAGATCCCGCGCCTTATTGGAGGCAATGGCTGCCACGGCGGCCACCACTTCGGGGCTGCCAACCACCACCACATCGGGATCATCGAGCTCATCCTCACTGCTGGCGGTGGCCAGCTGATTCTCATAGCTCACCGTACCACCGTTCGAGATCTGGCGCTGCTTATGATGCCGGTGGCGGTACTGCCGTGACTGCGTGGCCGTCTGATGAGTGTACGCCGGCATGTCCATCTGGGCCAGCGGGATCTCGTTGTCCACCAGCTGAGCTAGACTATTGGAATTACCTGCGAACGACAAACACAGAGAGAGGGGAAAGAGAGGACGTGACCCGAGGGTCGTGATTAGTGGATGGCAATAACTAGCGCGGTTCTTTGTATGTTTAATTAATGCATGTAAAATATTCAAATGCTCATTACAACAAATTTGCCAACTAATTTAAAATACCAATTTCAATTTGGAGCAGTTTTATCTAGTGGTTTTTATTGCTCTTTTTTTTTTGTTGCTGGTTTTGATGGGTTTGTTTTGATTCGGTTTTAGCTGTGTGGGATAAATAAAACCATTTAAATATGCAAAAATAATCATAAACGCTGAAAAGGGCGGCAAATTAAAATTGTAATTTAATTAAAAGCGGGTTTGGTCCGAATAATGCGTGTTGTAATTGAATCTGTGAAAGCAGAGGATCCGCCCTCCTTCCTTCCGGAGGAGGAACCGGAACTGCAAGGGGAAATCAACTTAATTGGAAACTCATCAGTGGATAAGCTCTTGAACCAATAAACATCAATAACTGAAAAAACCAAGTCACAAATAAAATTAAGGGAAACTAACATAGGCGCTAATTAATGGGATAATGGAACAATGGGATAATGCTTTCGATTCGGTGCCAATTGAACAATTTAAAGCATGCTTTCAAAATGTCGTGACTACAATTAGTAGGTGTGTTTACAACTCGGGAGCTTGCCAATAAATAATCTCTAAATACCATATTAAACTTTGAGTTTATTGTTTTTTTTTGTTTTCTGGTGTCTGAATGATGTGTATTATGTGTTTATGTTTTCGGGTTGATGCTGGATATATCCTTTATATAATGGATGCGAATGTAACGAACAAATATCAGAGTACGGTTAGCTACTTGACTGGCGGCAAGTTGGGCCACAGGGAAATCAACTCAAACTCAAACATGGGAATTATATATGCGGTGTAAATGAAACTCTAAAGCTTTAGTTTAATTTCGGTTTTTGTTTTGGTTATATTTTTGGTACATATGTTACAACAATTAAATGCTTTTGCTTATTGTTTTTTAGAGAGAGGTTTAGGTTTAGGAGAGAACTCACCCAATCAAGGCTTAAAATGCATTTTTACTCTAGTCTTAAGCGGCCCTCGACAACTTTCGCTCAATTGCAGTTTTTGTTTTGGTTATTAGTTTAGTTTTATGTTTCGTTAGTTTCACAAAATGGCAACAAACACAATACAATTTGTATGTTTCGTATTATTTTGGTTTGTTTTAGTTTAGTTCCACAGTCAAGTTGAAAGATACAGAAAGAGTTTGACATTAGTGTGCGAGATAAATCAAGAGGTAGAGGTTATAGCTTTGGTGAGCGCGCTTTTGCCAGTTCAAAATCAAAAAAATAAGGCAGGACCTGAGGATAATGGGTTATAGATCATGGAGTGTATCGATGGTCGGGGTTCGGGGACAAATGTGGTTCCAATATGGGTCGCGAGTAGGTCTCACGATCCTCTGAATATCCAAGGGGAATGGGATTAGTATAGATCTCTTTGCTGGCGGATCAATTTTGAACATCATACGCTATATATAGATACACTTTATTGCCCAACATTTAACCGTACATATGTGTATATATAAGTATATAAATTTACTTTTGCATCATTAACACGCGTCCTCACATATATATAATATATATATATAACTACCTATAACTTCAATTACCTCGCTAATGCGTATTACACTTTGCAATTAATTATAAAAGGAACTCATAATATTGTTAATGCTCAAGATTTAAAGCCTTGGAGGCGGCGAGTGAGCCGCGAATACAATATATATATTCATTAAGCTGGCTTAAATATATACCTAATACGCTAAACGCTTTGTTTTTCACCTCCCCCAAAAGTCCGTCTCTGACCGAGAAATGTCTTTAACTTTTACAACTAGGTATAAATATTTTCAATATTCTTTTGTATGCATATTCCATTTTAAAATTTCCTTGTTTTCCATTTCCCATTTCTTATTTCCTTTTTAACTTCAACGCTTTCTTGTGTATTCCTTTTAGTGCTAATTATTTGCAGCAGTCACTTGGCCATATTCCAATATATATTCGAGATTAAGACATATTCGATATTTGATATATTCAATCCGTTTTTTCGCAACAATTTGACGTATTTATCGTTCTTCTATAAGTTTAAAAATTACATCTCGCGATCTTAACACTGATACATAGTTTATCAAATTCTTATTGAATTCCATTGGTTTAGTTTTTACGTTTACAATTAATTTTAATTTTCATTGTAAAAATGAAAAAAGTCCTAACAAAATGTTCTTGTTGTGGTTGCTTCAATAAATGGCAGTTATTTTGGCTCATTAAGTGTTTTCGCTAATATCCCTTCGTTCTCTAATTGCAAGTTAATTAATAATTGTTATATTATTCTTCGTTTTGGCTGAAACCTTCCAAAATAATTTAAAAGTAAAACAAAAAGTCTCCCCAAGTGACTGCGATCGTTTCTCACCAGGATCCCAAACAAAGGACAAAATTAAAAATTGAAGCGTTTTACTAAGGCGAACGAACTGAGAGTCAGGCATGCTTGGTGAGGGATGTTTGATGGTTTACTGGTTTAGTAGGTTACTTGGCTGGTTAGTTGGTTACTTGGTTAATTGGTTACTTGGTTAGTTAGTTGGTGTCATCACTATTTGGAGGTGGCGGCGCTGGGACGTAGACCAAGGTGGTTACAATATACACGGGTTGCATTGCGGCCCCATGGCGCCGGAGCTCCTCTACTGCCATTGGTAGCAGCAGGAGAGATCTGGCGCTCTTGTAGCCTGGGAAACTGGGTGCTAATATAAACGCAAAATTCTCTATGAACCAAGTTTCTTAAGGGAGCATGTTCTACATAAACCAAAAAAATCATATAATTCCGACATTCTACAAAATGTGGGGGGTGCAAACATAAACTATTAGCTTCTAAAGCATTGCATCCTGGAAGCCAAGTGAGTCTCGCCGCCATCACTCTCCTGTGATCCGATTTCCTCAAATACAGTACAAATCAAGGCTGCAAACCTTGCAATTTCTGTTTTCCTTATCCTTTGGCCAATAGTAAATACTTTTAATACGACTAATTTGTCTAATTTATAAGTAGACACAAGTTTAAAGCTGCTCAACATGTTAACAATATTTAAATATTAATTTTTGTAAAGCTGCGCCAATGGTTTATGAATTTTTAATACCATTTCCCAATATTTATATTCCTGAATTCCAAAAAATAAAAAAACCGAACCAGTTGTTAGAGGTTCGGTTGGAAAAAACAGTTTACAGCCTTGATTAAAAATGCAAATTGCCAACTATTCCAAAAAGGTTTTACAAGCTAAGCTAAAGCCCCTTTATGTATGATCCTAAACCAAGTCCTAAATCGCAAATCCAAATCCTAAATCTTAGCAAAAGCGTGGAAGCAGCAGTAGGAAGCGGGCTGGCCAGGGCCCCGCCTTATATACAGCGCCTAACAACCGATCGAGGAGGATGTGATGTTGGAGTGGGACAAGGATGAATCCGGACTGCAAACGGACAGAACGGACCAGAACGGACCAGGACCGAGGCTGATGGGGAGCTGGGCCAACGGAGAGGCGGACTGCTGCTGCGTACTAGGACGAGTCGCTGCCCGCCGCATCCTCGATGATCGAGTTGAGATCGATGTTGAATGAGTACTCGTAGAGATTGGAGTATCGGTCGCGCTCCTTCCACGGCGACCGGTGATTCATATAAAGATTTCGTTTACTAACACGAAAGATCTGGCTGTCCTTGATCGACTGATCGTCGTCGCAGGGTTCACCGCCACCGCCAAAATCGCACTCGCGTATCGTTAGACGATTTGTTGGGGACTTCAGTTCGAACATCACCTCCTGGTGCTTGTAGGGCTTCCGCATCGGTAGCGGCTGATACCCCGCAATGTTCACCTTCTGCGAGTCCACCGACTGCGTGGACTGCCGCCTCATCCCGCGCGCCGCCTTCGGGAAGGGGTAGTTCCGCATCAGGTTCGAGTCGGTGCTGCGTTGCGGGGAATAGTACTTGAAGTCCGTGGGCGCCGGCGGCTGTGGCGCCGATGTGTGTATGGTGGTCAGTGTGCTGTTGCTGGCGGAGATCGCTCCGCTGCTGGCCTGCAGCTGCAGCGTCGACGGCCGTCGCGGGGCCAGCGGTGGAGGGCCGGCGGCATTGGTGGCCAGCGATGCCGACACCGAGGTGGGCGCGGTGGTGGACGAGGAGGTACCGCTGCCACCAGTTCCAGTCCCGGTGCCTGTACCGCTGGCCCCGGATGCCACCGCTGCAGCCGCTGCTGCCACACTCCCAATGGCCGTCGTCTGTTGCGAGTGCACATGATGATGCAGCAGCGGCAGCGGCGAGTGACGGACATCATCGTACGACGGTGTCAGCGGCAGGTGCAGCGAGCGCTTCAGGTTCAGCCGATAGGATGAGGAGGTGGCCGGCGACCGGGGCAGCAGTGAGGGTGAGGAGGGACCACCCCCGCCGCCGTCCAGCTGATGCTGCATCTGCAGCTCCGCGGCCACCAGCTGCTGCTTGAGCTGATGGTGATGATGCTGCTGCTGCTTGAGCTGCTTGTGCTTATGCTTGCCGGCCTTGAACTGCTGCTGGGCACTGGCGGGCAGCAGGGTTTGCAGGGAGCAGCGCTGCTGGTGCTGCTTGCGGGACTTACCGTTTTGAACCAGGTCGTAGCTGGGCGGCGGATGATCGAATCCGTTCCCATGCCCAAGCCCGTGACCGTTCCCATGGCCATTGATTGCGGCGGCGGCTGCTGCTGCTGCTGCTGCTCCATTGCCCTCCAGTGTCGAGGAGGAGGGATTGGACTGGTCGTGTGTTGTTGGTCGTGATTGTGTTGGTAGTAGTTGTAGTAGTAGTAGTAGTTTGTGGTGTATGATCGAGAGTAGTTACCAAAAAAGAACATTGCATAGAACACAAAAAGAAGAAGTATAAATTACAGATCGTCAAAATGATGTGCACAAAAGTTCATCGTACGAGAGTTTTGATTTAATAGATAAGGATAAGGATATTATCAAGCAAGCAGAGTGCCCAGACATTTAGATATTGATTTCGGTGGTGAAGGAGTGCTCTTTATGGGTTGGATGGCCCATTGTGGCCTTGCCCCTTACCTCGTCGTAGAAGCGTGGCTTCAGCTCTGCCCCTCCAATGCTGATCCCGCCGCCGGCACCACCGATGCCACCGCCACCGCCGCCCATCATGGGCTGCGAGGTGGTGACCATGTGCGAGGCACTCAGCACATCGCTCAGTGCGTGCCGCGGACTCGACTGGTGCTGCATCTGCTGGATGAACTCATCGGTGGCAATGCCGCGTCTAAAGTTAATCCATTGGTTACTTGAGCGAGGTCTCCTGGGGGTCAGCTACTCACCTGTCGATCAGCGAGGGCGTCATGGGTCCGCACAGGATGTGACAGCAGTTCAGGCAGATGTTGCCCCGCGAGTAGGGATTCTGGTTGCGTGGACCGCCTTTGGAGGAGAAGGATCCCTTGAGCTGTGGGGGAAAAACACTTCATTATTTGATCTATGTCTATTTCTATGTACTCACATCCTCATTGGTTGTCTGATCGCTTGTTGTCAGATAGGTATGGAAGCCGGCCAGGCCGATCACGGACCATATCGAAAAGAAGCAAATGAACACAACAATCACAGTGAAGGGCGCCTTCTTGATTACTTCGAAGACCTCCTGCTCGGTTTTCATCACTGTCGGCGGTATTATAAACACTATAATTCATCCAAATTTATGCACACATTCGCATGGTACTCACATAAAACTAAATGCGTCACAGAGCACGAGAATATAAATACAGCTAAAAATGCCAATGAGACTAGAAACAAATAAAAGAACCGATAATTCCGCTTGCCCACGCAGTTTCCCACCTGAAAACAAGCAACAAAAGAGAGAGAGAGAGTACATTAACCAGGTTATAAAGGCTTACGAGTCATTGTTGTGAGCCCTAACATAATAAGGTTAATTGCATTTTCACGAGATGTGTGACAACACCAAAATTACGACCAAGAAATGCCTTAATTTCAAGTCTCTTTCTCCTCACGAATCCTTTTACAGCCGCATACGACGAGTATCCGAAAACCCCCAAAAGGACCAAGTCGACCTTCAAGCTGCCAGCTGCCTTCACTCCTCCGGGGACTTAAATTACGTCAAGGAAGAGGGGCGATAGCAGCTTCACATGGACTAAAAAGGATTCACTCATATTTTTGAAAGTACAGACAAGCATACCCTTTGATTTAATGCTATTTTGAAGGTATAGGAAAGTACATAAAAATATTAAAAATATATGCAGTTATATATAGTGATATTTTTTTTTTTATATATATTTATACCCTTGATTATATATAATTTTATATAAAAAATCGTTTATCTTTAAACAATAAGTTACTATGAACAGTAAGTATCTATCACCAGTAAGTAACTAAAATCAGTTAAAATCAATGACCAGTAAGTAACTAATGAACGTTAAGTAATTATGATCAGTAAGTAACTATGATCAGTAAATATCTATGATCAATAAGTATGTATGATCAGTTACTAACTTTGAACACTTGTAAGCAATGACTTGCAACTTTTGTAACACAACACATTTCTGAGACTTGGCTGGTAGAAGTCACTTCGTCCCGGGGATGTTAGAACCAATTGGGAATTATATACACATGTGTGCGAGACTTGTTTTGGCACAAATTTAAGAGAAAGCTATTTGAATAAAACTATGGAGTTAATCTTCTAAATATTTTTAAAAGTTTATAAGTCGGAGCATGGCGAATCGGTGCACTATATATATACATATATATAGCTGACATAGGAACAATAGGATGATTTTTGGAAATATCATTCTTAATTAACTATGATCAGTAAGTATCTATAACCAGCAAGAAACTCTGAACAGTAAAGCTCTATGACTAATAAGTAACTCTGAACAGTAAGTCTCTATAACCAGTAAGTATCTATAACCAGTAATTAACTATGAGCAGGAAGTATCTATGACCAGTAAGTATGTATGATCAGTTACTAACTTTGAACACTAATAAACAATGACTTGCAACTTTTGTAACACAACACATATCTGAGACGTGGCCGGCAGCAGCCACTTCGTTCCGGGGATGTTAGAACTAGTTGGGAATCATATACACAGATGTGCGAAATTTGTTTTCGAGCAAATTTAAGCTATTTGAATGAAAGTATGGAGTTATTCTTCTATATAATATTACTAGTAAATAAATCGGAGCATGCCGAATCGGTGGACTATATATATATATACATATATATTTACATCTGAACAATCGGACGATTAATAGAACTATGACCAGTAATTAACTCTGAACAGTAAGTATCTATGAGCAGTAAGTAACTATAATCAGTAATTAACTCTGAACACTAATAAACAATGACTTGCAACTTTTGTAACACAACACATTTCTGGGACTTGGCCGGCATCAGTCACTTCGTTCCGGGGATGTTAGAACAAGTTGGGAATCATATGTCACATGTGCGGGATTTGTTACGGAACAAAGATCAAGCTATTTGAATGAAACTATGGAGTTATTCTTGAATATAATTTTACTATTAAATAAGTCGGATCATGGCGAATCTGTGGACTATAACTGTCAACGATCGGAAAATTTTAAGAAAAAACCAGCACAGAAAAGCTTTCCAACGTGAAATAATCGCATTTTTGATGTAGTAATGATATTTTCAAAACGTTGATTTGCACATACAATTATCAACAAAATGCCAATAAATATCTATTTAAATAATGCAATATTTTCTTTTGAGGGTAATCTTAGTTAGAAGCTTGTTAACTTTATTAATGATTAAGATACTTTAAAAATGAATATCATTTGGAATTCCTTTTTTTTTGTATAACCATCTCATCTTATATTCTTTCTAAATGTTTTTCCAACATAAATATTAAAGCAGCTATTAAAATCAATTTAACATTTTGAAATATTAACTAAGCAAATGTCATAGGATATACCTTTGCTAATATTTAATAATTTAACTAAGCAACCTTAGAAGCCAAAACGATTTCAGGTCAAAAATGCAAATTGATAGGCAAGAAGTTAAAATCAAGGTGAATGCAATTTACCAACACACACACACAAAGACATTAAAATCTATTAAGAACCCAGGAAAAAGGGGGCAAGGTAAACTATTTTTTTCAAATGCAAAATGCAAATCAAACCTCAAGTCATTGCAAATATTTAATGGCAGGGCTGACCTTCTACAAAACTAAATGCATTTGCAGGTCAATTTAAATTGATTGTAAAAAGGCTAAGCATCAAGGTGAATGCAATTTGCAAATCAATATTTGTCGCGCTGTGAAATTACAGGTACTGAGTAAGCAATTATAATTATTTAAGGATTAAGGGCAGGGACTGCAATATGGCAACGGTCTTGGCATCTAACCCTGAATGAAAAACTAACACTTTCGGGGGCCTTGTGGGGCAAGGGTAAGCAAGGATAATATGTGTGCGCGATGATTTGGGCCCCCTGAGGATATCCTGCCTGAATTACACACTCTCTCACACACACACTCAGCTCTCGCAAATATGAGTGTGCGGCTACTTAAGCCAGTGTATGTTTGTGCAAAGTGTGGCTTGTTTGCTTGGTCCTGGCCAAAACCCACAAACACACAGAGAGAGCCACCGCCAGCTCTTGTTGCATCAGCGCGTCGCTCGCGGGGATTCCCCCTTCACCAAAAAAGAAAATATATATTAAAAAAGAGATACGAAAAAGCAGCAAAGGATTGGTTGAGGCAGTCCGAGTGCGCTTTTTTATACGTTTCAGCTGGAAACGTGACGTGCGCGCTCTTGGCTGAAATTATTTTTACTAAAAAATTAGCAACCTCAGCGGTTGCCGCTGGAATTGGGTTAAAGTCACAGGCGAGGGGCCTGACTTTCCCTCTCTCTCTGTGTGTGTGTGAGTTGGCCCACTTTTTCGCCTCCGCCTAATGCACGACGCCTAGGCTCAATGTCAGGACGAGCATTGGGGACACCACCCGGTTCCCAGTTCCCAGCTGCCAGCTGCCTGCTGCCTGCTGCCACCAGCTCCTCTAGCTTCCATCTCCCATTTCCTAGCTGCTGCTTCTGGGGAAGTGATTAAAATTGCGCCACCGCTAACGAGATGCCAACGGGTCCTTGACAAGGACACCACTGACGGACTACCTAAGTGACTCACTCACCCAGGGACAGTGGTGATCGAAGCGGTCCACACAGTTATCGCACAGGCTGCAGTGTGAGGCCCTTGGCGGCCGGAAGATCTTGCAGGTGAAGCAGTATTTCAGCTTGACCGTTTGTCCCTTGACCAGGACCTCCTTGGTCCTTGGCGGTGGTCGATATGTGGGGCTGTTTAGAGAGTTTGGCACCTCTGTAGCATAACCATATACATCCAGGGCGGAAATGCAGCATCAGGGATCAGCATCATCATCATCGACGTGCGTTTGTTGACATGGAAGAAAAAAAGGGGGAAGAGAGCAAAGTTTTCTCATTTTAAATATTTTATACAAAGGCAACACACAACAGCAACTCATTAGTGCAAAGGCAACGCAGCGTTTGCCTTTGATGATGATTTTTATATACGGAATAAATATTTTTCCTGTGATTTTTTTTTATTTTCATTTTTCGCCATCGCAGTTTTATTTTCTCATTCTATGTCATGCCACGCTCATTACTTTTTACGTTACGTGAGCTCCACTCTGGCTGGCTGCCTTTTCCCTCTCTGCCCCACACTCATACAGACTTAATGAAGTGAAAACAAATATATATATATATATATATATGTATACGCAAGTGTCTGTGTTTGAGTGGGCGTGGCAGAGGGTGAAAGAGGCGTCAGAGGATAAGGATATTCAGGCAACAGGCAAACGACCTTGGCCACATTTCCTTTTGGATGGACGCAAGGACTGCGACTGCGATTGCGATTGCTACAGCGACTTTAACAGCGACTGTGATGGTACCACGGGGCGTATGAGTAACGTACCAATTTGCTTTTCGATATAGGCTGCCTCATCATTGGAGGCTCGCGGTATGACCCCCGGATCCGTGAAGGTTGTACGCAGCAAGGAGCTCATCGTAAAGAAATATAGAACCGCTCCCACAATGGGTATCACCGGATTGATGCGCTCCGCCAGAAATGGACAGCTGTCAAGGAAATGAAAAGGAAAATAATCATCATTAATCTAATGTTCTGTTATTGTTAAAGTTTTATCATAATGATTATTATTATGGGGCAACATCTTGCTTTTGCCTTGATTGTTTCAGTTCATTTAGTAATAAATAAAGTCAGGGTATTTAAGAGTGATAAAGTCTCAATTTATTGCTAATAGAACTTTTATCCTCTGCAATTTTGAAACTACAATTAAACACTTATTTGGAGAGGAAAAGCCCTCATTGCAAATTGATTCCTCAAATCGGCCCAAAGCCTGGGGAAAGCAGGCCATGCCGGCCACAGAATTCAGTGCAGGATTTAGAGGGCGGCGTGTCCTGCGTTCCCCTGCTCAAAAATGCATGCAAATGTCCCCGGTGATTTGGCAAATGCTCCCCATGTGGGCGCTCGTACAAATATGCCCCCGAAATGAGGCACTTTGGGCATCAGGAGCCACCAGGCAGGGCATCCTTTCCATGGGGGATATATATGCGTGGATGGGATGTGGCATGTACATGGACAATGCCTATATGCCCGTCATTGTTACTTAATGCCCAATGCGTGTGCCAACGATTTGTGAATAGCTAAAGTCGCCGCATCCAACCAGCAGCAGCAACTTTCACTCGCTGTCAACTCACAAAGGACCCAGAGAGCTCAGTGACAATTATGTGTGACAAGTCCCAGATGGAGGAGGAGGCACCATTATCATCCCCATCATCATCATCATTTCGGGGACAGTTGTCAGCAGAATAAACCGAAAATAGTTAAATACATTTGTCATGACAACGCCGATTTCCCCAAACCCATTGCTATGCAGCAAGGAGCGTAGTTTAAATAGGAATGCATTCACAAAAAAATAGTGCTTTTCTCGCATTCAGCTAACAAATCGCTGACAATGCCATAGAAAATAGAAATAGAGAATAGAAATGCTCAAAATGGGTAAAGGGAAAGGGATCTCGGGTTGGTTTTGCATTGTGTGCTACCTTTTAGCGATTTGCATCGCCATAGAGCGTCGAACGAAACACAATTTGAGTTTGCTCACACATCCCTCGGGCTGAACTACATGCAGAATAAAAATTGTGGCCTTAAAATAAGATAAAATAACAAAAAAAATATATATACAAATTGGTGCCTGAAAAGCCAAATACGCTGACTTTAACTTTATGGTAATCCCTTGAATATTTCATTTCAACAAAGGCAAAAATTGCTAGAGTTTCCATTAACCAAATTAGAAATTGGTTTTTATTTTTAAATGGACTTGAATATAGAAGAAAAATTGATATAGAAAACTACAATTTAAGGCTATATTCTGTATGATTCAGTTATGAATTTAACAAATTCCGATCGAATTAGATTTCGAATTTTAATTTATCATAGTTTTTGTATTGAAGGGAAGTTATGGCCTAGTTTTATCATGATAAGAAGCTTCCAAAAATAACCTTTATAGTCATATTTTATATTCGAATCTAATATTATTTCGAATCCCTACTTATATCAGAACTTACGGATTACCCGAATCCCTATTTGTTCCTTAAATTTCTCCGCCTGCATTCTCAGGATGTGTGCGAAATATCTGCAGAAATAACCATGCGAGCACTCAAAGGCATTGCAGATATTGTAATGCCCATCCATACTCATACTGGAAAAGAGGAAAACTCCTCTCCTTCTTCCACTCGACTGTGCGCTAATGTAAAGCAAGCAATGAAAATAAAATCGCGCTGCAGCCGCCGCTTTTCAGCAGCGAATAAATTTTTAGAAGCACGCCCAGGCACAGAGCCACAAGATGTAGGTATAGAACTTGGTTGCTCCTCCAGGGGAATTTCAATTTCTTTGTGGGAGCATCCCTTCCTGCACCCATTTGGTGCCGAAATGATTTCGTGCAGAAAATGTTGAGCATAATTTTTGTCTAATCGCGCTGTCAGGGTGTGTGCAGGCGAATGCTGCGCACAGCCCTTTAACTTTAACATTTCCCCGTTTTATTTGTATTTGTACTACGTGACGTATACGTTATTTCGGCCAACGGACAACTTGCAAACCAAATTGAATTTAGTTTAACGTATTTGCAGGGCTTTCCATATGAGCACACGCTCTCTTCGGGTATTTATTTAGTTGTAAAGACCACCAGGGAAAATGGCAATCAATGGTTATTATTATTATGGGAGCAACGTGAAGGTAGTGCCATTTCTGTGGAAATGTTTCATTTTGGTTCATTCTTTGATTTCTGTTTGGGAAGACCTCTTTTGTGTCTTTGTTCCCTTTTGATTTCAGTATGAGTTTCCATTTGAAAGAGCTGCACTTTTTGATTCCTAATATAATCTTCTTTGACATATAATAAACGAATGCCTTTTGACTACTTAGCATCACAAAAGGATAATGTCTTTTTTCATTTCACTCACTTTTTATACCCTTGCTGGGTATTATAATCTCAGTCAGAAGTTTGCAAAGCAGAGAAGGAGTCATCTCTGACCATATAAAGTATATGTATATATTCTTGATCAGCATCAACAGCCGAGTCGAAGTATCTATGACCAGTAAGTAACTCTGAACACTAAGAATTAATGAACATTAAGTAACTATTATCAGTAAATAACTAAAATCAGTAATTAATTCTGAACAGTAAGTATCTATAAGCGGTAAGTATATATGACCATTAAGTATGTATGATCAGTTACTAACTTTAAACACTTGTAAACAATGACTTGCAACTTTTGTAACATAACACGTATCCGAGACTTGGCTGGTAGGAGTCACTTCGTTCCGGGGATGTTAGAACCAATTGGGAATTATATACACATGTGCGCGAGACTTGTTTTGCCACAAATTTAAGAGAAAGCTATTTGAATAAAACTATGGAGTTAATTTTCTAAATATTTTTAAAAGTTTATAAGTCGGAGGATGGCGAATCGGTGCACTATATATATACATATATATAGCTGACATTGGAATAATCGGACGATTTATAGAACTATGATGCGTAATTAACTATGAGCAGTAAGTAACTCTGAATAGTGAGTATCTAACATATGACCAGTAAGTATCTATGACCAGTAATTAACTCTGAACACTAAGTATCTATGACCAGTAAGAATCTATGACCAGTAAGTAACTATGATTAGGAAGTCTCTATGACCACTAACTATGTATGATCAGTTACTAACTTTAAACACTTGTAAACAATGACTTGCAACTTTTGTAACATAACACGTATCCGAGACTTGGCTGGTAGGAGTCACTTCGTTCCGGGGATGTTAGAACCAATTGGGAATTATATACACATGTGCGCGAGACTTGTTTTGGCACAAATTTAAGAGAAAGCTATTTGAATAAAACTATGGAGTTAATCTTCTAAATATTTTAAAAGTTTATAAGTCGGAGCATGGCGAATCGGTGCACTATATATATACATATATATAGCTGACATTGGAATAATCGGACGATTTATAGAACTATGATGCGTAATTAACTATGAGCAGTAAGTAACTCTGAATAGTGAGTATCTAACATATGACCAGTAAGTATCTATGACCAGTAATTAACTCTGAACACTAAGTATCTATGACCAGTAAGAATCTATGACCAGTAAGTAACTATGATTAGGAAGTCTCTATGACCACTAACTATGTATGATCAGTTACTAACTTTAAACACTTGTAAACAATGACTTGCAACTTTTGTAACATAACACGTATCCGAGACTTGGCTGGTAGGAGTCACTTCGTTCCGGGGATGTTAGAACCAATTGGGAATTATATACACATGTGCGCGAGACTTGTTTTGGCACAAATTTAAGAGAAAGCTATTTGAATAAAACTATGGAGTTAATCTTCTAAATATTTTTAAAAGTTTATAAGTCGGAGCATGGCGAATCGGTGCACTATATATATACATATATATAGCTGACATTGGAATAATCGGATGATTTATAGAACTATGATGCGTAATTAACTATGAGCAGTAAGTAACTCTGAATAGTGAGTATCTAACATATGACCAGTAAGTATCTATGACCAGTAATTAACTCTGAACACTAAGTATCTATGACCAGTAAGAATCTATGACCAGTAAGTAACTATGATTAGGAAGTCTCTATGACCACTAACTATGTATGATCAGTTACTAACTTTAAACACTTGTAAACAATGACTTGCAACTTTTGTAACATAACACGTATCCGAGACTTGGCTGGTAGGAGTCACTTCGTTCCGGGGATGTTAGAACCAATTGGGAATTATATACACATGTGCGCGAGACTTGTTTTGGCACAAATTTAAGAGAAAGCCATTTGAATAAAACTATGGAGTTAATTTTCTAAATATTTTTAAAAGTTTATAAGTCGGAGGATGGCGAATCGGTGCACTATATATATACATATATATAGCTGACATTGGAATAATCGGACGATTTATAGAACTATGATGCGTAATTAACTATGAGCAGTAAGTAACTCTGAATAGTGAGTATCTAACATATGACCAGTAAGTATCTATGACCAGTAATTAACTCTGAACACTAAGTATCTATGACCAGTAAGTACCTATGACCAGTAAGTAACTATGATCAGTAAGTATCTATGACCACTAACTATGTTACTAACTTTGAACACTAATAAACAATGACTTGCAACTTTTGTAACACAACACATTTCTGGGACTTGGCCGGCAGAAGTTACTTCGTTCCGGGGATGTTTGAACCAGTTGAGAATCATAAGCTCAGATGTGCGAGATTTGTTTTGGAACAAATTTAAGCTATTTGAATGAAAGTGTGGAGTTATTCTTCTATATAATATTACTAGTATATAAGTCGGAGCATGCCGAATCGGTGGACTATATATATACATATGTATATATAGCTGCTATAGGAACGATCGGAAAATTAAGAAAGAAAAAATTATAACCTATCCAGGTTTCACAAGATTTGTATCAAATTTGATATATAGCCATTATATTTTAATTTAGAATTTTAAAAATTGGGGAAAATACAAAACTGTGAATCTAAAACTGTAAATATAAAATGTATGAATGAAAGAAAGGAAAGCAGGCATTGCTTCATTGTTTCTAAACAAAAATGTAAATAATTTACATTGCATTAATTCCTAGTCATTGAAATTTTATTTGCAAGGGTATATAAAATAAACTTTGGCGTACCGAAGTTAGCTTGCTTTCTTCTTACTATGTGAATTGTTAAAAACGTAACACATATCCCACAGAAAAAGTTATAAGAAGCTTTGCAAAACGAGCAATCAGAGGTCTTGGTATCAACATTTGGACATTAATAATTTGAAACTTTAATTTGCCAACCATTAAAGGACCACCAAAAGCTAAATAAGCGAAAAGTTGGTCCATATATGTAATCAGGAAATAGAAATGTGCACCGGATGGTTAAATTCGAAATGGAAATTCTATTTAAAACTACTGTTTTGTGGTCTGAAAGGAAGAGAGGAAGAGTGCCGAGTTGGGGACTAGGGAAACATATTTGAATGCCACACAACCGGACGGATTGACTAATCAAAAGCTGAAACTATTTGTCCAACCCTTTTCACCAATCCGCTCCACACGGATTCAACCGTAATTCAACGGATCCAGCACAGAGACATCGGGAACGGGAGCTGAAAAAGTAGCCAGCACAGTTCGCAGGAGGCGAGCGTCCTTTTGCCAGGCCAAGCATAACGCATACGCCACGTTGCACAGCAATAATTACATTCCATTGGATACGGAGACGAAGGGCAGAAGGGCAGGAGGGCAGACGGCGACGGCGACGGATGCCAGACAACAGACAGTAACCGGACCCAGGATCCAGGACCCGGACGAGAAACCCGATGATACTGATGAAACCAGAGCAAGAGTCCAAAGTCAGAGACCATTAATGTGGGCGTAATTGGAAATCAAGCATGAGCCGGGGCGGAGTCGGGTAAACCCGGGGGATTCAAGGGTGATCCGGAAGGGTTACCGGCCAATGCTTAATTAGCAACGTATACATTTTGCACACAATGCAACCCAGAGGGGGCGGCAAGTAGGGGGAAAAGTGCACAGACGCTCAATTTGTCACACGGAGAGAAATTATTGAATGGAATATTAATTAAATAATAGAGGAAACTAAAGCTTGTATAACCTTCTTTCAGTTAGAATTTGGATCAGGGGATCGAAGGGGAATTCAATCATAATTAAGTCCGAAATAATTTAGTTCCTTCTAAATTAATAAAGCTGCATATTAATTCTAGGAATTCTATTTAGTCAGAAGCTTGTCACGCAGTGAAGGATCCATTGCCGAGCCTATAAAATATATAAATCTAATAAAAACTAGTATAGACAAGCTTTTCGAATTGAAATTAATTAATTTTTGACATAGTAATAATATTTGAAAAACTTTGAATTATTGTGTATAAGCTACTTATTCCTCACATTTTTCGACCAGTGTAAATCTCGATGACAAAATGCTTGAAATGAGCATGGTACGTAATACTCACTCGAAGGCAAAGAAGAGCGCACTGGTGCCGGTAATCAGGATGCACGTCAAGTAGAAGACGCCTGTGTGCGGTGCGGACATTAGCAATCCATCGCAGTAGAATTTATTGCGTCCGGCAAACAGTTCCCATTTGCGTGTGACGCGCTGGTTTGGTGCCATGTTACTGCAACAACAGCAGCACAGCAGATTCATTGGGGCGCGGTCCTGGGAAATGGGTTTTCAGTTGGTTCCTGGTGCTGCTCCAGCTCCTGCTCCTGCTCCTGCTCCTTCTCCTACTGTGTCCTGTGTCCTGTTTCTGATCCTTTTCCTTTCTGACAACAGTTGCTGACTGTGACAGCGATTGTGCCTTGCCTGCTACTGTTGCTGCTGATGATGATGATGATTGTGGGCTGGGTTTGGGATTGGGTCCCGGGGAATGGTGGGTTATGCGCTCTGCCGCCGACAGCTCACCCTGGCTGCAGTTGACGAAATTATGCTGCGTTGGTGCTGGGGTCCCGACTTGGCCGTCCGTCCCTCCTCCGTCTCCTCCTGCTGTCAGAGAGACGTGTTCATGTGTGGCTGTTGCAATGCCTGCGGCACGCAAAACCGACTTGCGCAAGATGATGACACCACCTTCTACTCCTCCTCTTGCTCCTGCTGCTGCTCCTGCTCCTGTTACTCCTGCTACTCCTCTTGCTTCTTTTTGCGGGATCCAGGATACTTAAAAGTTGGCTGTTGTTTTTTAGGCTAATATTTCACTCGGTATGCGGGCTGGCTGTCGGAAATGCGAGTGTTTTCAGGTGAATTTAATCAAAATTAATGCCTGCCTGGTGCTAGTGCCTAGCTGGCCGTGCTGTTCCAAAAGCAATTTCGTCCACTTTGTTGCGTTGTCCACGGTCCGCGGCATCAGCCACATTGCGTTTCAATTTCCTCCTTTTATTGCAGAGCACACTTTCGGCGGCGCCACGCCCCCCGCACGCCCACGCCCACTCCGCGGCTTTAATTAAAGCAGGACGGCTGTCATTTCCCTGCAGCCGCCTCCTTCGCAATGTTGGATCCCAACACTCCACCGATTTAGGTAGGAGATGGGAAAGAGTTTTTGGACCTCGTTCCCGTGCACACTATACAGCAATTATTTGCTCGGCTTTTGTTGATCCTGGATCCCTCCGCCTTCCTGACTGCCTGCCTGGCAGCTCCGATTCAGTGGCACGTCCGCGTCCTTGCGTCCTTTATGATTCAATTATTCGCTATTCGCTGCTGGCGCCACCAACAGTAGTTAAAATTGGCGTCGGCGTCGAATTGGTTTGGTTTTCGGGTCCGGTTTTAGCCCAGTTTGAGTTGAGTCCTGCAAAAGAGCGAAGCAGAAGGGAAACTTGTGAAAGGAGTGAGCAACTGTGGAATTGCAAGCAAATATAATCATTAAGTTATTTTGATTAAGAACTTTTGTGCGGGCGCCGACAAGCGGAAGGAAGTAGCAAGTAGGATGAAGGAAGGAGGCAGGAGGCAAAGTTCTCTCTCTTTTGCCAGGGATTCCTTTATGCCAGGCTTCGTCTTTATTATCGAATTTTAATCGCATTGCCTGAGAATTGTCAGTTGGCCAAGGGGCAAGTGGAAAGGGGGGGAATTTTCCTCTCAATGGGCAAATTTATACGATAAATTTTATCACTTTTTTATGCCAACACAATCGGTTTGTTATAGCTGCCAGATATATATTTTATTCATAATTGATCAAGGCATATTAGAGGGGAATTGAATAGCTAAGACGATTCTTTACTTTGTATTTAAATATGGTGAAAGGGAATCAGACTTTATTGACTTGAACTTTAAAGTGCTGTAAAAAGAGAGCAAAAGAGTTTGTGATAATTATAGGAAACTTAAGGGAGTTAAATAGGAAACAAATTGCTATCTTATAACTGATTTAAGAAGTTTATTTACGTTCCCGTATTTCTAAGATGATTTTTTTCTTATAAATATATTTATTATTCTCTTATTCTCAGAAATATATTTGTAATACTCTTACTTGTTTTCCCTCAACAATACCCATTTTGCATAATATTTTCAGTGAGAGAATAGCTTTTCCTTCCCCAAATCCCTGCCTGGCAAAAAGTATACCACTCTCCGTACTGAGCTAGATAATTCATAATTTATGCTTCGACTTAAAGCGACCAAAGGGATTAAAAACGCATAGATTATTTACATCTGAAAATGCGCTTATTCGCGGCTTTACTGTGAGACGACTGTGTCGACTAATTGGCGCTAATCAAGTTAAGCATACGCACTGTATGCCGCCCCCGTGACAGGAAGTTGTTAGTGCTCCGCCTCTGCCTCCTCCTTCTTCTTCTTCTCCCCTTTCTCATTCCCTTCGCTGCATGGTGCCGGCACTGCAACATGGTTCCAGAACCCGTTATCTAAGGCAAACAGGCGCGTTTGTGGATGGCAATAAACCAGCAAACATACACAGGAAACTACAGTAGAGGTTCTATAAGAGGGAACCCATTAAGTTTTAGGAACTTATAACTATATTAAATAATATTATAATCATAAATGATATATTTATATAGAAACCATAATGAAAGGTGGTTTAAAAAACAAAAATATCCTTTTAATACAATAGATTTTATTTCGTTCATTTTATAGAGCCTAGACTGTACACAAAAACGAATATGCTGGCGCTTTGCATTCGCAATTTGCGGTAATTGGGCACACGCCGCCCATTTAAAAGGGAACCACCATCGCAGTCGCAGTCACAGTCACACAGTCACAGTTCCCAACTACAGTCCCCTCCCCAGTCACAGTCACAGATGCCCCAAAGCAGGAGATGGTTTTCTCAGGCGTTTGCCAATGTTTATGCAAATTGTGTTGCAATTATAGCGGCAACGACTGTTCTAATACACTCGCAGTGCGATTATTTGCATGCATTTCGCATGGAAATGGTTGAGTGCCCTAACAGGCTGGCTCAATTAACATTAACAACAGCTGATGACATGCGCCAAGAAGTGCCAATTAAAGGCACAAGCACACAAACACACACACACAGAGAGCTGTTCAATAAACTCATAAATTGAACCGAAACGATGCAAAGTGCCAGCACAAAAACAATAACCATAAAGTAGCAACAGAAAAAAAAAAAATGGAAAAACATAACACAACAGAAGAGTCAACTTTGAAGTGTGCCACTCAACGCAAATATGGAAATAAATGGCCACTTATGGTAAATTCAATAGAGAGAGAGGAGAGAGTGAAAGTGGTGACGGTGTCTTGGCCAATTATATGCCATATATTATCAATATGCTGGAAACAACATCAGGCTATGTGTGGGTATTAATAAAATGCACTTTTTAACGCAAATTATTTACCATTTACCACAATTTTTATAGAAACCAGGTTTATGCGGTGAAGTTAAACAAAATAAACAACAAATGATGAATTAAATTCCTTATTTCAATAATATTAGCAAGAGAGACTAAAACCTTTAGACTAAAAATATAAGATGAACAAAAGTTTTGTAATATGAATCAAGTGAATTTTAAATTTAGAAGTTTAAGAAAACAATTTATTATTTGTTAAATAAATTAACTATTTCCTTTGACTATATTTAATAATAAACACAAACAACAACTATTTTTCTTCTGTTTAAAGATTCGCAGACTTCATAAACTATTTAAAATAAATGTAAACAAACAAAATGCCCGAAATTCATGATAAACTTTTAAAAGTTATTACCATCGTATAAACAAACACACTCTCCCACACACTCACTTAGCGGACATGAGAGAGCTATAAACAGAGAGAGAGAGAGAGCGAGTAAGAAATATACCTAACCGACACTTGGCATTGTAATTGTAGGCTGCGGTTGCGTATACGTATTTTGTAATACATCAAACACTTGAACACCAGGGTTCTTGACGTTGCCCCCGCGCTTTCCACTTTCCGCTTACCGCTTTTCCCACCTACCACCTACTACCTCCCCCCTTGCCACTATCATGGCAGCACCACCCACCATAACCGCGCCTCTTCAGCCAACCTCCTCGACCACCCACTTCATCGCACTCACCCGCACTCTCACTCTCGTTACTCATACGCATGCATGGCGAGCACACTTGCCATTCAAGAGGGGACGAAGGCGGTGGGGGCGTGGCAAGTGCTATATAGCAACCATGCGTGCACGGCAATGATACACTATGGGAAAATTTAAATTTTAACTCATTTATAAATATTTAAATATAGTTTAGAATTTGGAAAAATTACACAAAAACTGAGTTCAAAAAAATCAAAAGGTTGTGGATTTATGAATTAAATTTATTATTAAATCAACAGGTTCCATAAAAAACTTGATAATTATGAAAGATCCTATAAATGATCATAGTAATTACCATATTATAACTAATTAACCAGGAAAGGATCAAGATACTACAATAAAATAATGCATTTTTATAATTTATAAATATTTAACTATAGTTTAAAATAGCAAAAACTCAATGAGATGTGCATAAATAATTAAAAATTCATTAAAAGATCTTGGGTTTTTGTATGAAAATAAATATAATAACTATATTTGTTACTATTTTCCAACTCAAACCCAGCTCCAATCAATTATGTAAATATAGAAATATAATTCAAAAAGGACCGAAATAAATACCTAAAAATTCATTAAGTTGTCTTATTTTTTTTGTTTGAAATGTAATATTTTAAGACTAAATTCTTTTATATTTCCCACGTGTAGCCTCAAGACCCGCTCCTTGGCCGCGAAGTAGTCAGCTCAGTTCGACTCGACTCAACACAACTCGACTGGGATCATTCATTTACGCAAACGCTTGCATTCGCATTCACATTCGCACTCGCACTCGCACTCGCCCACTCGTTCAGCAAGCAAACAAACAAACAAAACAAACAAATAAACAAACAAACAAACCGGCAGACACACTCTAGCAACACGAGTGGCGCTGGACTGCATATGAATAGTGGATGAGTGAGCCCAGAGATCCCCTCGTGCTTACATGCATGCATTTATGTACATATCTACTTTATTTGCCTTTGGTTTAGTTACTTGGTCTTACTCCAAAGTGTTTCGATGTCCTCAGAGTACCTCAGATGATTGAAGTCCTCTTGATACGGGGATAATAACTTGAGTGATAACAGAAAGCTCTCGATAGTCAAAATTCACCAATGTTTGAATGTATTTTGGTATTAAGTGAAGGATTTTGCAAGGCCTACGTTTTTGGAAATGGGAAAGTAAGTTATATATTCAATAGATTTTCATATTGAAAATTTTATCTAGGTGAAGATTCTTTATGGTTTCTTACATAAATATGATCACAAGAAAGTTTGTATTTATGGGAAAGCATTAAATATCATAGCTAATGTTAGATACTTTCTATTACTTTTTTAGCTAAATGCATTAAACATTTCCTTAAATATTTCTCCCATTTACTTTTACAAAATAAAACTTGTCACAAACATTAGAAAACCTTAGCAAACTTAATTACCAACATTCCAATTAAATATTATGACACAAACACTATAATTTCCGCATCATATTCCAATTAGTTTCGATTTGAAAGGCATGGACAGGGACAGGCTATAACAATCGGTATATTCTCGACAATGGCCAACAGGACACTCTTTCAAACTGCCATCTAATTTAATGTTTTTGAAACAGTCACCCAACTAATAGACCGCAGCACACACACACACTCACACACACATATGGTGCTACAGCTATACGAACATTTCCTCAAACATCCGACATGGCGTCCATTTCCGTTATGGCAGCCAAGCGAGTCACGCACACACACACACACACATGTCCTCTGTTCCTGTCTCTCTGTGTGTCTGTGTGTTTGCTTTGGCGTTTCCCTTTGCTCCTGTCAATGTAATTGTTGCCGTCACACATATACAGTTACAATCGCCGACGACTAGGACGTTCGCCATAGCCGTCAAGTCGCCGTGACAGTCGAACCAAACGAAAAGTCGCCATCAAGGATTCTCCTTTATTTTATTACAAACACTTGGGGAAAATCATAAAGAAAATGTGGGAAAAGGAAAATGATTTTTCTTAATAAATTAGAAATTAGGAAATATTAAAAAAAAAAAAAAAAAAAAACAAGGAATTAAGGAGATATGTATTTTATTTACATTAAAATTATACAAAAGATTCTGTGAGTTGGACTCCTCTATGTTAGTAAGTAATGTTTAAATTGTTTACACAACTAAGACATAAATAGAAACTTTTAGAATATATTATGTTACGTATTTTATTATGACACAAAAGGCATTTAATAAAGTGTTACATTTATAATAAAACTTAAGGATTAAACCCCATCTTCCCTCAGTGCTTGAAATGAA